AAACTCCATCACCTGAAAATCTGATATAAACCAATTTTCCGCTTTGTTTTTGAGAAAAGTACAAGGCTGTAGTAATCTTTTCATCTCTGTCGCTCTTTTTACTTAAGATAACTTTGTACAAAACACTCTGATGGCCTATACACTGAGGAAAGTAAAACGTCTTCGTTGACTCTGACTCTGCCCTGAAAACAGAGGGATATTTGATAGTCAGTCAGGTGTCTTATAGCTTACCATTCAGCTGCTTAATTCGTTACATCGTTTTTCAGTAATAGATTAAAGATGAAACCAAAATGTGGTAAAAGCAAAAAGGCGGCGGACGAGGTGCAGCCGGGTGTCTCACTAACGTTCTTGTCACATTTTAGTGTCTTCCGTGATCTATTTCCTGTAACATATATATATGTTCGTTAAAAAAGAAAAAAAAATCAAAATGTTGTCAATAGTGACGTCATTTATGCATCTGTCTTCTAATAGATCATAAGTAGGAGTCAATGAAAATGAGTATATAATTCAGCTCATCACATAGATACCTGATAGAGGTCTAATGGGCTTACGAGATGGCTGGTATTCCACCCGAACGCCCCCCTGGCTACAAGGATAGATTAACCACCTCCTTGGGTAATATTTGAGTTCCTGGTGGAAATAGGAAAGAGGTGGGCATCACTTTTCTTCTGTCACTCATCTCAAATCTTGTCGATGAAGCCATGATGCGGAAAGATCTAGATAGGAGTTTGAACGGAAGTTGAGGTAAAAAAATCTTCCCACCACATTCTGGGGTAGAGCTGTTGCATTGTGCGCTATAGCCTTTCATTCATTGAGTTTCCTTAGTGCTTAAATTCGTAAGCCAATGTAGTATTCATGACGTTTCACACGTATTGATTTCGTTGCTCTTAAGGCCTCAGTCATCGCTTTTTCAACTCCGATAAACCTTTACATTCAAGTCCAGAAATCGACCGAGGCATTGTGTTTTTTTTACTCATTTTTATTTTCTTCTTATTAAGCCGGTTTTTTAGTCTGTCAGGTAAATATTGATTTACAGACTGGTGAGAAGGTTGAGAAATATGAAAATCGTACACGGTGAATGCACCACTTTTCTACTAAGTTCTTTCATTAGTTGGTTTCGAAACTAAGGAGTTGTTGATATTGAGCTGGATGATTTATACAGGAAAGCCTAACCTCTAAGTATTCTATGCACTTTTTGTCTCTTTCCTTTTCACTAAAAATCCTTACCTTTCATTTTACACCAAGCTAAAAGTGTCACCAACAGATAGAGAATCATAGTTCATCGTTCTTTTCATAAAATCTTTCGATAGATTCATCTCCAACAATGCACGCATTTATGACAAAATCCCAAATATCCAAATATCAAATCAATATAGCCTTTTGTATATTCATTTTCATTCTCATTACTCATTGTGTCTGTATTATATTTACCGAAAGATATTTGAATATGATATCTAAAATGTTACCTCTTCTTTGATATGGTTGACAATTTATATGAATTGTAAAGACTCGAATAAATCTTGATTTTCTCTGTTACAACTGCTTGTTCAAATCATAGTTACCCAGAAGAGACATTCTGATCTTCACTCCTGGGTATGATGCATGCAGTGCGTTTCTTTAATCGTTCAGTTATTAGAATTTACCAAAGAAAAATGTACTCCTGCTTAATTTTCTAAAAATTTCACGAGATGAATCATGTCATGAATTATTCAAATTCCACACCAGACAAGTGATTTCATTTCGTATCAATAATTTACGTTTAACTTTAACTTTTTGCACTCAAATTCAACGTTTTTAGCTGAGAGTTGGGTACATGATCATGAATTCGCAAAGCACGATGGAAAGGCTGATGGCAATGCAACTGAATCCACAATTACTTCTCCTTGATTAGCAGCATTTGTTGTAGAATAATATAAAATTGGCAATCAGGTTTGTTGATACACTGTAGAGCAGTTTCCATTGAGTGTCGAATAAACAAAACCCAGCTATTCTTAGCGACCTATCAGAACAAAGGTTTATATCATCATCACTGAGAAAATGAGGACATGAAGTACAACGAGCAAAAACTTCTTGAAGCGAGAAAAGGTAAATGACCAAGTCCCGATTGTTTCAAGTTTTCATCGATCTGATTGGTTGAAAGGATGGCGGGAGTTTTCTAGACCATTCACAGAGAGAAGTAAAGTAACACCTGTGCAATCTCGGTTTAATTTCGATACGCATTAAAATTGTTCAGCAAAAGCAAGACACAAGCACGGAGCCTGAATCAAACCTTTGAATTAAGTTCGGAAAGTAATTTAGCTCGACAAGCTCTGCTGTGCTACTCGACACTGGTACGACAGTGATTCAGACAACACACCCCTGCCGTGCCAGACAAAATTCACAAATTATACTAATATATTTCGGCGGAATTGCGTTACTGCGGGGGAGGGAGGAGGTCATGAGTGCAGTATGCGCTGAATTTTGAACGACATTAGCCCGACGTCTGAATCAGAGTAGTGCTTCCGTCGTGCCATAGTCGTACCTAATTGCAATTAAGTTGAGCGCGAGAGAAGCTTGACGTCTGAACTGGGACTAAATGTAAATATTTCCTTCCATTTTCTGTTCTTTTTTTCGAATGCCAGAGCGAAAGAGTCGGATGATGCATTGTACTTTTTTTGTGACAGTCCATGTATTTCCATAGTTCCAATGTAGAAGAAAATTCATTCAAACATTTGTAAACAAAGCGGTATCCAAATCATTTTCACTTCAATAAAACTCAACTGTTTCTTCATCATTTTTATTAAGTTACATTCCACACCAGTTTATCCATATCACCAGGTGATGAATAAGTTACAGCTTCCCTTACTTTTACGTTTTCACGATTTCATATTTTCCAGTTACTATTTAAATCAGTTCAAGATTATTAGATACTGGTTAAATTCGTAACTTTTCAATGCAAGTACAAAGCTTAAGATTGATTATAATGGATATTTAAGTCATAAGTAAATGTGATATAGAAACACAATTTTTCGTCGGTGCTTCTGTGTTTCTTTCCTCGGTGCTCGGTGCTTCAGCTCATGGCTGTATCATCTTTTCCATCGCTCTCGCTTTTGTAACCTCAGATGGCTTTACATGGAACAGTTTGATGGCCTTTGTACTGATAGAAGAAAATCGCCTTCTTTGACTTTGTCCCTTGCCTGAAAACAAAGAGATATTTGATAGTCACATCTTTTCAAGCGTTTTTTATCATTCTGAGCTACCCTGTTGTTCGAAGTGGTGATGATGGTGTGGGGGAATTGGTGGTGACTGACATTTCGACGATCTTTGCAGGGGTTATCATCAGACTTAACTCTGTTGATGACCTCCGCGAAGGTTGTCGAAACGTCCGTCACCACTTCCGACAACAGCCCTTCCCAGGTCTACCTTCAACTGGACGATCATAGATACGACCAAAGATAACTTAGACCATACATATACCTGATAGAGGTCTCACAGGGCTAGTAGGTTGCTGGTATTCTGCACGAACGCCTCCTGGCTGGGATGAAAGACTAACCACCTCCCTGGGTAACACCTGAGTACCTGGCATAACCTCGTTGATAGTAGGAAAGAACGCATTCAGGTGAGCATCACTTTTCTTCTGCCAGTCATCCCAAATCTTGTCGACGAAACCATGATGCAGAAAGAACTCAGGCGCTAAAGCGGCGTCAACGGAGCACATGGTACCACCAATCAAACAGTGAACTACGTCATGGAGATTTAATCTGAGTAGCAGCTCAAAATCTGTGAAGTTAACCGGGTTTATTTGCAAGACATTATTCACTGCAACCGTGTCTGGAGGGTTTCCATTAAATTGTCGCCTTAAGCATCCAGATCCAGGCGAGGGTGGAGTTCCCGATGGAAGGGGAGGGAGGCTCCAAACGCTCTCTCTGAAAGGACCCGTCTGTACACACTGGTTGGGTGGAACGCCATTTCCGCCAAAAGAAGCATTGCCTCTATGCCAAAGGTCTCTGGGATTCGTTGTTCGAAAAGGATCACCCGAAACTCGAGACCAGTCCCAGTATGACACAGTGAATCTGCAGTCAACCCGTCGAAGAAGATTTTCGTAAAGCAGGATAAAATAACGATGCCATGTGAGAAAGTGAATACGCTCATGAATTCCCGTCGCGAAGAGGATCCTATGGTCATTGAGAAGGCGGTCGTAATCGTTTTTGAACCTGGTGTCAGTTGAAGCTGTAAGAATGGTTTGAATGTATCTCCTTCGCTCTGTCAACGAGAGGGATGTGAACTCTTTTCTAATCCTTACGCAGTTAACGAGACGCCCACCAATGCAGTCACATCTCCGCCCGCATCTATCAAACGATGTTTGTCCCGCTTGGCAAACTAAAACTGGAGAAAACAATTCATGTACATGAAAGACTGACCTGTTCCTCCATCATTCCATTATCAAAAAAGGGCTACACTGTCTATCTGACTCTACTGTTATGGTCTCCTAACCACGGACCGCCCGCTTTCAAATATTGAATAGCAGTTTTTTTGTTTTCTTACATCTATTCTCAAAGGGAAGATAATAAAGAAAAAAAGAAAGAAAGAAAGAAAGAAGACAACAAAGAAAGAGCATTAGTTTCGGCAGGCCAAAGGAAGCATCAATTATGTTTTTCTTTAAAATGTAAAGCTACACTTTTTTCAAATTTTCGATTAAGATCCCACTTTGACAGAAAATACGTCTCTCAATATCTAAAAATTCAATAATTTCTGTTAAAAAGTTTATGCTTGGGAAACTGATTCATTCAAAAAAAGTGATCTATCGGCCTAACAGAAGAGCATTCAAATAAAACTTTTGCTGTTCAT